TCAATTGCCAGTATCATTTAAAAAAAAAAAAAGAGCTGGCATAGTCAATCAAGTGGTAGAGCACCTGCCTACAAGCCTAGCAAGTGTGAGGCTCTGAGTTCAAGCCCCAGTAGCACCAAAAAGAAGAAAAAAGAAAGAACCTTTTTGCATCCAAGAGTTAGATTTTGGTTTTGTTTTGTTATTTCCTTCCAAGGACAATAAGAATTCACAAGATGGTGTTAATTAATTGCACATGGTTTCCCTTCTGGCCCCTGCTAAGTATGCTTAATAACTTGGACACCAATCTTACTTTCTGTTCACATGATGTAGCAATGAGACACTTGAAGACATTCTAAGTTAGAATAAACTGCTTTATTTTATTTTATTTTCAGGTGCTAGGGATCAAACTAAGGGTCTTTGCATGCCCTCTACCACAGAGCAACACTCCCAGCCCATACCTTTTTTTTTGGCTACACTGGAGTTTGAACTCAGGGCCTCACACTTGCTAGGCAGGCACTCCACCACTTGAATCACTTTGCCAGCCCTGTTCTGTGTTGAGTATTTTCAAGATGTGGTCTTTTGAACTGTTCTTCCAACTGCTGGCTTCCAACTGCGATCCTCCTGATCTCTGCCTCCTGAGTAGCTATGATTACAGGCATGAACCACTGGTACCTGTTTTTTTGTTTTTGTTTTTGTTTTTGTTTTTTTTTAAAGTACATTTAATAATGTTTATAAGCTAAAAAGGAAAATTAATGAAATTAATTTTCTTTAGGTCCAACCTTTGTGGACCTATTTAATAGAATAGACTACATTTCTTTCTTTTTTTTTTTTTTTTTTTCTCCCCCACAAATTCCAAGAGTTCAGCCCTTGGGACAGCACAGGTTACAACAAAAGAAGGTTATACTGGACTGGAGGTGGGGCTCAAGCAGTGGAATACCTGCTTTGCCAGCAGGAAGCCCTGAGTTCAATTTCCCAATACCACCAAAAACCAAACCCCCGCCCCTGCCAAAAAAAAATGGTTATACTGCATCAACTAGAGCCGAGGATGACGAAATCCAAAATCCTGGAGCCCTTATTTTGTTTCTGATGTGTCTGAGTCCTTGTCTGGGTGCTACAGTTTTTTTTCCCCCTGCAGTTTGGTTTTTCAGGGATCGTTGGCCTCTTTCAGGATCTCATAAAAAGGCTGTAATCATTTAAAGAGGCCACATCTTCCAATCCATGTTGCTCATACCATTTATATTTCTTGGTAGGCTTCTCTTTCTTTTTTCTTTTTAAAGGAGATAAGGTTTGAATCGTAACCATTATCTTTATTACCTCTGAATTTCTAAAGCACTTCAATTTAAAAATATAAAAGAATATGGATAGACTGAGATCAATTTATAAACTACTTTCAAAAGCAGATCCCATGACAGTCTGCTAAATCCAGATTACTTGCCTACATTCATGAATTTTAATTTTTGTGGTTGATTGTAATACTTAGATTATATGCTTCTAATAAGTTTTTTTTTAGCAATGCAATCTTGATACCAGAGATAAAACATACCTACTGTTATAGTTCCAGAGATTAGAATGGATTTTTTTTTTAAATAATGAAATCACTCGTAAAAAGGTATTGTGGATCTTCCAGAGATTGGTATTGGAATGCCTTTATTTATTTATTTTTTAAATTATTGTCCTGGGGTGCATTGTGACATTTATGCCTTTTATTTTCTAAAAGCAGTTGCTCTTTGGAGAAAATGTCCTGCAGGTCTTCACAACCAAAGAGTTACTTACTTTAATGAGCCAAAACACTTAATTTTTAATTTGTTTAAGAAAAAGGGGAGAGTGGTGGAGTGGCTCAAGTGGTAGAGCACTTGCATGAGGCCCTGAGTTCAAATCCCAAGTACTGCAAAAGAAAAAAAAGTCAGTGCTAGCATTTGTTTATCTGGGTGCTGGAGGCTCACTCCTATAATCCTAGCTGCTCAGGAGGCAGAGATCAGCAGGATCCAGGGAGGTTCAAAGCCAGCCCGGGCAACTAGTTCACAAGACCCTATCTCAAAAATACTTAGCACAACAAAGGGCTGGCAGAGTGACTCAAGTGGTAGAGTACCTGCCTAGCAAGAGTGAGACCCTGAGTTCAAACCCCAATACTGAAAAAAAAAGGAGAAATAGTAAGCGTGGATGGCAAATATTCAAGTGAGATGTTCTTTGACTTAGTGTTTTTATTCAGTACAGATTTATCAAGATGTTATTTTTTCACCTAGTTACTATCATCACTAATGCCTATCTTAAAAGTCTTAAAGCTTGGTGGCTCATGCATGTAATCCCAGTACTTACTCAGGAGGCTGAAGTAGGATTTCAAGTTTGAGGCCAGCCTGCCACATAGCACAACCCAGTCTTAAAAGCCTTAAAGGCAAAATGCTTTGACTATTAAATGTGCCGTAGGGTCTCTTATAGCATGGTGTCTGACTTACATTGGATAAGAAACTCTGTAGGGTATGATAGACTGTCAGTTATACTCTTTTTAAATAATGGTAACTACTACCCCTCACCCTCACCCTCATTTTTTAAATTCGTGCTGGGATGGAACCCAGCGCTCAGTGTGCACTACTCAGCTTCATTAGTACTTCTGTATTTTGGAGTTGTTAACAGCCTTTATTTTTTAAAATTCATTTTATGAAATACTATTTTGTGTTTATTCTGTGCTAAGTCTTTACACCTGTCATCTCATTTTATTCTCATGATAACCCAATGAGGTCAATATTATGCATCCTGGTGTATTAGACATGAGGAAACTGAAGTATAGACACTTAGAAATTTGTACAACATCATGGCTACCACTAATGTTTCCAAACTGAAAAGGAAAACCATGCCTACCTACTTCCAAAGTCCATCTTCTTACCCTTCTTCCCACCGTTCCTACCCCTCAACCTCAGATACCACAAAGACAAACCAGGGCCACTGGGTTTTCCCTGTTGGAGCTCCTTGAGACTTCAAGACATCATCATTTCAAATGATCAAATGTCAGTGTGCTGACTGACACATAGCCAGTGGCCACTGACTCAGATACAGGATTTGAGCCACTCCATCTGAAAATCTTTCTGATTGAGACCATTTTTAGCCACCAAACCAACTAGCGGGTCTCAGAATTGCCTGGGTCACATCCGTAACACCACCATCCAAAATCTGAGGATGATAGAGACCTGTCCCCTTTTGTTTTGCCAATAATAACATTAAAAAAATAAACCTATCCCTATGGCCTACCCCTACATTTTCACAAAAGGTATGATTTTTTTTTTTTTTTTTTTTTGTAAGGTGATCTTGAACTCCTGGGTTCAAGCCATTCTTCTGCCTCAGTCTTGAGTGTCTGGGACTGAGGTTTGAACTCAGGACCTCATGCTTGCTAAGCAGGTGCTCTTACCACTTGAGCCACTCCACTAGACCTTTTTGTGTTGGATTCTTTTGAGATAGGATCTTTTGAACTATTTGCTCAGGCTGGCTTCGAAATGTGATCCTCCTGATCTCTGCATCCTGAGTACCTAGGATTACAGGGGTGCCTGGGTCAGCGCCTGGACAATGTGAGATTCAAAGAATATTGGCAATGGCACTTTGTTAGCCCTCTGACATTTTCTCCTTTTTATGTCTCTCAGATAATGATGCTTGCTGAATGTGCTTCACGATTCTAATTATCTCATTTTCTTCTTATTTCCAGTTCTTTGCGTAGATATTTCTCAGGAGACTTTTGAGACCCTTGGTAGAAGGAATGTTAGAACCAGCAGTCTATGTCTTTTTGTTGTTGTTATTTTGCAGTGCTGGGGATAGAACTCAGGACATTGTCTTTGGGTAGAAGAGACAAGAGGGACATCATTTCTTTTCTTTTTTTCCAATAGTGAGGGTTGAACGCTCGGCTTTGTAAGTGCGAGGCATCTACCACTTCAGTTATGCCCCCGTCCAAGAGACATCATTTGTGAGTATGGGCAGTGCCACACACCCCTTCCTTACACACAGTAGGTACTCAACAGATCTTTGTTGCATCTTTGACTCTTATTTGCAATGTGATTTGCCAACACTCTCAAGATCTTAGCCTGGTGCCCATGGTTCACACCTGTAATCCTAGCTACTCAGGAGGCAGAAATCAGGAGGATCCTGGTTTGAAGCCAATCCAGGCAAATAGTTAGTGGGATCCTGTCTTGAAAATACCCATCACAGAAAAGGGCTGGAGGAGTAGCTCAAGGTGTAGGCCCCGAGTTCAAACCCCTGTATCATTAAAAAAATCTTATGCTATTTTTTTTTTTTTTTAATTCCAGAACCTAGGGCCTCATGTTTGCTAGGCAACTACTCTACCACTTGAGCCTTGCCCCCAGTCCCTTTGTTTTTATTTTTTGAGGCAGGGTCTCCCTGCTACCTTTCCAGGGGTTGGCCTCCTGTCTCTTCCAGGATTGTGCCTCCACATCAGGCTGATTTTATGCTATTTATGTGTCTTTGGTGGACTTATAATTGGGATATAGCATTAATATTGGCTCTCCAGGGAGTTGTGTTTTTTGGATTATATGGGTCTCTTCTTCCTCTGGCTTTACCACCTTTACTTCAAGCACATGACACCTCTGTCCCCATGTTGGGATAATATGCTCAGGAAACAGATTAAGAGGTAATTGTTAGTGTCCACAGTGTAAAGATTAGAATTTAGAGTTAAAATTCATATAATGCATCAAGTGTGGCTTCTAACAGAGACCCTCATGTGTACTTTATTCAAAGAATTCATCAATTGTCATAGTAATTAATGGAGCATTATCATGAATCTAAGGTTTAAAGAATTCCTACTGTTTTTTGTGTATATTTTATTTGTGTGTGTGTGTGTGTGTGTGTGTGGCAGTAAACATCCTCAGATCCTTAATTTTAATGAATAATAGTGAATATTCCATTTCATGCTTGAGAGTACATAGCAAAAATACTCACTTCTAATTTGTTGTTGTTATTTTTATTTCAGAGCAAAACCATGAGTGACTGAGCTTGGCAATCCATCCAGATTCTCCTCAGAAGTGAGACTTCCCAAAGGACCAATGACTCTGTTTCTTGTGCCCTTTCCTTTTTTCCTACTCTGTAACTATGTCTCGATCCCGCCAGGCCAAGCCTTCCAGACTAGTCAGGAAGGAAGATCTAAACAAAAAGAAAAACAACCAACCAAAGAATACATCCAAACCGGCCAACAGAAATGTGGTACCGGTGAAGACTGTGAACCCTGGAAAACTGAAGCAATTAATTCAAGAAAGAGATGTTAAGAAAAAAACAGAACCCAAACCACCTGTGCCAGTCAGAAGCCTTTTGACAAGAGCTGGAGCAGCCCGGATGAATTTTGATAGGACGGAGGTCCTCTTTCAGAATCCGGAGTCCTTAACTTGCAATGGGTTTACGATGGCTCTCCGCAGCACCTCTCTTAGCAGGCGGCTCTCCCAATCCCCTGTGGTTATCAGCAAACCCAAGAAAGTCCCACCTTCCAGGAGTTTGGAAAAGCAACATGGGTGCAAAGACATGGGAGTAAAACACTCAGAAAATGATCCAGTCCCAAAAAAAGATCCGCCAGTTCCCCCTGCTGTAGAGAATCTAATTAGTGTACAAAATACATCTTTAATGAATGGCAAGAGCCAAGAGGTAGCCCAGTCTTGGTCTCAAAGGGTAGAGGATTCCAAAATCAATATCCCTGTTCACAGTGGCTCTGGAGGAGGGGTCCTTGCTGGGCCCTTGGAGGGGACACATTGTGGTGAAGGACTATCATCTGAACAGACACCAAATGATGTCGGTAGCTCCTCTAGAATGTTTTCTCAGGACACTGTGTGCACTTCTTTGCCTCAAAGAGCAATTCCGGAAGTTACTTATCAAAGAAGCGCTAACATTCAGTTAGAAGACTTAGGTTCACGTGTTGAATCTCTTAAGCTGTCTGATTCTTACCTGGGTCCCATGAAACATGAACGAAATTACTGCCCCACCTCTGGTTTTAATCACATCACACCTGAAATGGACCTTAGAAACTGCTTATCTCTTGGTGGACCTATATATCCTACTACGCTAATAAAACTGCTCTTGGCAGGCTCAGATCCAGAAACTCTGGGTGCTAAACCAGTTCCTCAAGAGGTCCTCAAAGCTACCCCAGATGGAGAGGAAGTTCCTGATACCACTGCTGTCCTAGGACAGGCCTTCAGTGCTTTCCCTCCTCAGTGGGTTTTCCCTGGTGCTAACCAAGTTCCTGGTGTGGCCTTGGGTGAGCTCCCAGACCCACCAGAGATTGCTGGTGCTATTTCAGTCCAAGGACAGGTCTTTGGTACCATGCTAAACCAACAAGAAACCCTTGGTTTGGGTGTGGGTGCTGTCCCAGACCTTCCAACCTTCCTTCCTAGTCCTTCAAACACCATTGCTACCTATAGTGCTCCCCGCAACTGGCCTGAGCCCCACAGCACTGTTGCATATGGGCTTGAGGTCCAAGGTGCTATGCCGATTTTGCCTTTGGGTTCAGGACCTACTCCTCAATCATCCTCATACTCAGAGCTAAGTTCCATACCTCCAGTAATAGCTGCAAGCAATGTGGACAGTGAGAAACAGGTTCATCTAAGCCTTCTTCCAGCTAACGTTCAGGGCTTTGCATTTGCCCCTGAGAGAGGACTCCACCCTGCCTCCCTGGGTGTTGCCCAAGTCTCCCAGGCGGGTCCCAGCATCTCAGAAAGCCAGAGTTCCCAGGGCAATATGACCAGCACAGTTGATGTTGTCAGCAACACAAGGGTGCCTCTGCCAGTGTCAATTGCCAGTATCTCTGTTCCTTCCTATACAACCTTACTACCAACCTTGGAAAAAAAGAAACGCAAGCGATGTGGGGTCTGTGAGCCCTGCCAGCGGAAGACCAGCTGTGGTGAATGTACTTACTGCAGGAACAGAAAGAACAGCCATCAGATCTGTAAGATGAGGAAATGTGAGGAGCTGAAAAAGAAGCCAGCCATCATCGTACCTGCTGAGGTAAGTAAAGAGCCCAGGGGCTGGAGGTCTACTGTACCTCTTGATGTAATGGTCTGTGCAGAGAACAATTTTGCTTCAGTCTTCTGTCCTTTTACGCTGGTAAAATGTTGCTTTACCTGTAAGAACTTATGGATGTACCAGAAGAATGTCTTGTGGAGTGCTGGCTTAGTTAGCTTTTCAAATTTGTCCCAGAGAACAAGAACCTGCAGTTTTTCAGTTATAGGATTTGATAGAGACATAGGAAAATTGTATGAAGCGTGGTTTTGCAAAGATTTCCACTATCACTCGTTTTGGCTAGTTGTGTGTCTTTTTTGGAAGTTACAGATTTAAAGTTTGAGCGGAACAAATTCATTAACTCCCTTGAAACCTGGAAAAACCAGAGGAAGTAATCTTTTTACTTTTGAAAGAATGAAACTGCATCCTTAATCTTGAAACTTTGCCTTGGAGGCATACCAGTGATTCAGCTTTCATCTCAACTTAGTGGGTGATGTCTGCCTGTTCCGCATATTTCATGGGGGTTTTGGGGATTAAATGAAAATGATCTGCAAACTCCAATGTGATATAAACATTAGTTCTTATTATTACAGTTTATGAACCTAAGATAGTAGAATTATCCATTGATTTAGGATTTCTTTAAAAGGCTTTATGGAATTCGGTTAAAACTCAAAATAAACTGGGCGGCAGTGGCTCATGCCTGTAATCCTAACTACTCTGAAAGCAGAGATCAGAAGGATTACAGTTCCCGGCCAGTCCCAGGCAAACAGTTCATGAGACCCTATCTTGAAAAAACCCATGACAAGAAAAGGCTGGTGGAATGGCTTAACGTGTAGGCCCTGAGTTCAAACTCCAATACCACAAAACAAACAAACAAACAAAAACCCCAAACTCAAAATTACTGCTTATCAGCCTTTAAAGCACCTGACAAGTATGGTGTTTTGTGTTTATTTTTAGATCACTTGAAGTTATGTTACTTTTGTCTACTACGTCTACTATGAATGCAGGTTTAGTAAAATGGGTTGATTTAAGAAGTTAACTTTATTCAAAGTTCTCTATTTCTCTCTTGACTTAAATTATGGTACCCAAAAGCCTACTTTCTTGTTTGAGCCTTTGCAATCAAGAGATCAACTTAGTAACCAATCCTGTATTGACAGCTTTTAAGGTGTTTTTTTTTTCTTCTTTTGAACTCAGGGCCTCCCCCTTGCTAGGCAGGCACTCTACCACTTGAGCCACTCCGCCAGCCCTGTTTTGTGGTGGGTACTTTCGAGATAGGGTCTCTCAAACTAATTGCCTGGGCTGGCTTCACCTCCAGCCTTCTGATCTCAGCTGAACAAAAAATTTGTCCTATTACTTCATCTACTCGCCCTCATTTTCTGAAGCAATTGAGAGCAAATTGTACAGACATGACACTTCTTTACCCTACATAGTGGAGAGTGTATTTCCTAAAAGCAAGGTTATTCATTAATTGGTGGTACTGAGATTTGAACTTGAGCCACTCCACGGCAAAATTGCTACTTTTGAAAAGTATGGATCAGTTACTTTGTGCCTCAGATTGGGTTAGTCCAATGGTTTGTCATAACTTGCCTTGTTACCACTGACTCCAACCCAGCTAATTATTTATTTGTTTATTTGTCTTTCAATCTGAACTCCTGGATTTCACTATAATCAGTTTTTTTTTTTTTTTTTTTTTTTGTGGAGCGGTATGTGTTGGGGATTGAACCCTCAACCTTTCACATGTAACCTCCACCAATAGGCTTATTCCCAGCCCCCTTATTATTAATTTGATGCTCAAGTTTGGTCAGGGAGCTCCTCGAACCATCCAAGTAATTTCTGTTCAATGTGTTTCTGTACAATGTGCCCTGCCCCACACCTATGGAAAGTAGGCATGTTTTGGTAGAGGAATGTAGCTGGAAAGTACTGTCCTGATGTGATTATTATCACTCATGTCAATGCTATCTTCAAAAACTATTTGTTTTTCACATGAAAAAGTGCTCACCGTCCCTGGCCATAAAGGAAATGCAAATCAAAACCACAGTAAGTTTCCACCTCATGCCTGTAATCCTAGCTACTCAGGAGGCAGAGATCAGGAGGATTGTGGGTCAAAGCCAGCCCAGGTCAATAGCTCGCAAGACCCATCACAAAAAAGGGCTGTGGAGTGGCTTGAGGTATAGGCCCTGAGTTCAAACACCAGTACAGAAAAAAAAAAAAAAGCTTCCACCTCACTCCTATTGGAATTGCTACCATCAAGAACCCTCATACGCTGCTCGTAGGAATGTAAGCTAGTACAACCACTTTGGAGAACAACATGGAGGCTTCTTAAAAAGCTAAACATAGATCTGCCATATGATCCAGCAATCCCATTCCTAGGGATATACCCAAAGGAATGTGACTCAAGTTATTACAAAGGCACCTGCACACTCATGTTTATTGCGGCACTATTCACAATAGCCAAGTTATGGAAACAGTCAAGATGCCCCACTACTGACGAATGGATCAAGAAAATGTGGTATTTATACACAATGGAATTTTACTCAGCCACAAAGAAGAATGAAATTTTGTAATTCGCAGGAAAATGGATGGAACTGGAGAACATCATCTTAAGTGAAATTAGCCAGAATCAGAAGGCCAAAAATTGCATGCTCTCCCTCATACGTGGGTTATAGACCTAAAACAAATGCAGTAATATTATTGACATGGGTCACACACTAAGGGGAGAATGCACACGGGAGAAATAGGGAAAGGGAAGGAAACCTAAAATTTGAATGTGATTGATGTGCTCTCTATATAGGAACAAACATAGTAATCTTAAACTGACAGAGGCCACTAGGGGAAGGGGACCAGGAAGTAGTGAAGAGGTCAGGAATCTCCCTGTAGAGCTATCTTCATCTCAAATTAGCAAAAATATGATGTTCTTCTTTTTATCTTATATGTTTTTTCTTCAACAAAATCAGAGAACAGCCCCGAGGTGGGAGAAGGGGGGAGGTGGCCCAAATAATGTGTACACATGTAAGTAAATGTAAAAAAGATAAATAAATCTTTTTTAAAAATTTGTTTTTTATTTTGGGTTAGGGTCTCACTATATAGCCCAGGCTGGGTTTGAACTCAGGGCTTTGTGCTTTGTAGGCAAGCACTGGCTTTGAAATTTTTTTTTTTTTTTTTTTTTTGTGGAACTGGGGTTTGAACTCAGGACTTCAAGCTTGCAAAGCAGGCGCTCTACTGCTTGAGCTACATCTCTAGTCCATTTTTCTCTGATTATTTTGGAGATAGGATCGATCCTTCCAGTCTCAATCTCCCAAGTAGTTAGGATTACAGGAGTGCACAACCAGCACCTGGCTACTGGCTTTGAACTCTTGATCTTCCTGAATCCTGGAATTACAGGGAGTATCACCATGCTCAGTCAAAAGTTACTTGAATTAGTTTGTGCTCTCTCTCTCTCCCTCTCTTCCTCTTCTTTGTAATCCCCTTCTCCAATAGATCATTTTTATTTCTGACAAGCTTTTGTGAAGAATATATTTGGCTGTCATTACACGGAGCTCTGGAGGTAGACAGATTGACCCATCCAGCAGTTCATGGAGAGGCAGAGGGAAGCACAGACCTTGGCTGGAGTTCATTCTTAGAAAGCCATTCCATTTCCGTTCTTGGAAAGCCAGGAACAATTGTTTCTGGTTTCTTTCCCTCAATATTTTTATTTGATTCATCAGTAATATTGCTTATAGTTAGCAGGGTTCATTGTCTTTTCAGTATAGTATTTCATTATGTAAATTATCACACTAAATTTGTTCATTCTTCTGTTAATGAGCAGTACTCATTACTGTGAACAGTATCGTATGTGTCTTTTGGTGAACATATGTATGTATTCTATGGGGTACATTTCTAGGCATGGAATTGCAGACTCATAAGATAAGCATCTGTTCAGTTTTTGTAGTGATTACCCAGCAGCTGTCATTGTTCCACTTAAGACTTCCTTTAATGGAATCTCAGCACTGGGGAAGTTGAGGCAGGAGGATCACAAGTTTGAGGCCAGCCTGGGCTACATAGGGAGGCCCTGTTTCAAAAAACAAACACAAGGGCTGGGATGTAGCTCCAAAACTTGAGGCTCTGGGTTCAGTCCCCAGCATCAAAAGAGAAAAGTCAACAATAAAAAAGAAACCCAAAACCGAAAAACTCACAAGCTGGGAGCCAATGGCTTACACCTGTATAAAATAAAGAAGGTAGGGGCTTTTGCAAGGTTACATTTTTCACAAGTTATTTTTGGTGTGTGCAAAAGCCAAAAACCCAATAATACAGTGCTTGTAGACTCTGCTTCTGTGTGGGGTATAGAGAGTGAGGTCTTTTAGGGTGTTTTTTGGTGCTACGGGGGTTTGAACTCAGGTCTTCACACTTGCTAAGCAGGCACTCTACCACTTGAGCTAGTCTGCCAGCCCTTTTTTGTAATGGGTTTTTTGGAGATAGGGTCTTTCAAGTATTTGCCCAGCCTGGCTTTGAACCGTGATTCTCCAGATCTCTGCTTCCTGAGTAGCTAGAATTATAGGCATGAGATATTGGCGCTTAGCCAGAGTGAAATCTTGAACTGTGTCTCTAGCCAGAGAATTTTGCTATAGTATCATGCATTTAATTAACATTAATTGAATGACCAGACAGTGTGAGTTGATCTACCCAAAGTGAAACAATCTTTCTTGTATTTACTCTGGTTAATGTTTCTCCTCAAAATATTAGAGGTTATTATGGTTTGGTTAGAGAAAAATACCAGTGTCCTAGAAAACACTTTAAAGTGTGCAAATTACACATGGAGAAATAGTGCTAGTCACATAGAGTTATGTAAGAAAAGCTAAAAAGTAGGATGCACAGGACCCTGGGTTCAATCCCCAGCACAGGAAAAAAAAAAAAAAAAAGCTATATTGTAAGGATGTGAATTTTACCACTTTTTTTGTGGCACTGCACTGGAGTTTGAACTCAGGCCTTACACTTACTTGGTAGGCAGGCGCTCTTACTGCTTGAGTCAC